TCTTGAGGGACCTAGTTCTAAAACTGAACTCAGACAGTGTATTGAAAAGGTGTTGCACTGACTTTAGCCAGGAGTCTAAGATAGTCCTGCCTGTCACTGCATTCCACACTGAGAATGGTCAGCACTTGAGCCTAAACCTGAAAAACAAAACTACATTTAAATATGATAGGCTTGTTTGTCAGTCTAGGGTAGAATCCAGTGTTCCGAGCAGTATGGCAAGGTAGCGGGCATCCTGCCACTCAGACATGTGAGACCTTGAGTGAGTCACTTCACCTCAGTTCTGTCATTTATAGGACAAGGGATTTCTGCAGTGGGTCTCTCTTCCCGCCTCCCAGTCTCTGATGACTCTAAGAGTTCTGGGGTACAAATAGCTCCCTTCACTTTAAATGCCAGAAGGGAGAAAACAGAGCACCGTGTCAGTTGCGTGAATGCCGACATGTCCCTGGCGGCACAGTTTAATGCACTTTTGAAGACAAAACCAAGCAGCCTGACATGGATGCTGTTGAAATGTCAGGCTTCAGTGCAGGATGTTGTTGGACATCTGCATCACTTCTGTTTTTTAAACAACCTCACTCTGCCGGGTATAAATCTGTGTCATTATCTAATGGCTCTTGTCATTTTAGTGTAGTGATCAAGGAGGAAAAATGGAAGTGCTTTACGCAGAAAAACAGATAAAATATGAAGGTATTTCTTAACCCAGAGTGCGAGGCTGTCTGGTGTACAATACAGATCTATCAATAATTCAGTTAAAACTGTTTACCTGTTTTACATGACTGGGTTCAGTTCACTGATCTTCATTCGAGTTTACACTGAAGTTATTTAACTGCAGGCTGCATGTTACACCACACAGACCAAAGCATTATACATTTTCCCCAATGTAATATACAAGTCCAAATTGATTGTGACCAAACGTAAATTTAGTCATATCTTTAATATGCTCTATCTATTAAGGTGTGACTAAGACTTTAAAGTTTTGTCTCAGCTACAGAGTAACCGAGACTATAGCCGAATCAGTGGCAAACAGCCCGAATACCAACACCTTTGGACATGCTATTTGTTTTCAACAATGTGTCATCTAAATTAATGAACTTTTTTTTTCCCCAAATGTAAAAGTGAACAATTACTTGTCCTTATAAAATGACAAATTTTACAAGGATGCTGGTTTGGTCCCCCCTTCCTTCCATCAGAGGCTAAGCTCTATTTCATTGCCCACAGGCACACACCTCACATTTGTCACTGGCTGTACCTATATGGCCAATGCTCCATTTTCCTAGAACAAAATTATCTTTCAAAGCACAGGAGGAAAGGCACCAGCCGTTTTCCCCACCTCTAATTGAGATGGAGGTAGTATATTCCAACAGCCCTGCCAGTTATTCCAAAATGACTAGGCAAGATATAGAATGAGAGATGCAAGATAGAAATTTGTGTTTTCAAAATTATTTAGGGTTTAGATAATTTGTAGTCTCCTGATACAGAAGGCTTTATGTGAAAAGATCTGATGAACCCGTTCTACACCATGGCTGAGAGAATGCACACTCAGAAATACGATCAGGCGTCAACCTTGGTTCCATTGGCAGAATCTTAGGATGATAAATACGGGCTAAGTGGGCGGTGTGTGTGCGTGTGTATGTGTGTGTGTGCATGTGTGCGTGTGTGCGTGTGTGCGTGTGTGTGTGTGTGTGTGTGTGTGTGTGTGTGTGTGGTGGGGGCCCTTGGTTTGGCAGGACTTTTCAGGGTATGTGGCTGGGAAGGAGGCAGAGAAATGGGAACAAGAAGAAATAAGGAGCCTTGCGATTTTGAGGGGGAGCTATAAGCATTACTTATACCTGTGCTGTAGCCAGTGGCCACCTATGGCTGGTCCCAACTGAAATGTGCTGTTAGGATAAAAGCCACACTGGGTTTCAAAGACTTACTATGAAAAAAAGAATGTGAAACATCTCATGAATATTAGGTTAATTATGTATTGAAACTGCATGTGAAATGGTAATATTGGGAGTATATTGGATTAAAAAACATATTAAAATAGATTTCTCCTGTCTCTTTTGACTTTTCGAATGTGGCTACTTGAAATTTTAAAATTACATGTGGCTTACATTATATTTCAGGTGGACAGTGCTGCTAAACATTCACTTTCCATGATAGAATTATGGCTCATGTTTACCATCTTGCATTTTCTGTACTTTTCAAATTGAAAATATGCAAAACAGACAATATTGTCTTTGAGAAAAAAAATACATATCGTGGATTTTGGAGTTCAGCCAGCATGTGTCCTAATTATAGCACGTGGGCAACTAACCTTCTCTGAGACTCAACTTCCTCATCTGTATAACAAAGGTAACAGTTTTGATCTTACCTGGTTATTATCAGAAATGAGAAATTAATACTCAATAAATATTAAGCATTATTCTTGGTCGTACCTCAAGACCTGTCTGATGCCTAATCTTTAATCCCTGTCTATTTCTAAATCAGCTCTTTGTCTCTCATTCTCCAAGATTATAGTTTGTATCTAATCTACCTACTTCTATACCTGATATTTCCCTTCTTTTTCTCATCACTGAGAAACTTGGGTCTGGTCACCTGTGTTCTGCTACCCGTTCAGACTAAGGTATCTCTCACTTACCTACTTTAGCTCATTTCGATTCTAGAGTAAGAATTCTATCCTGGCTAAAACTACAAACTAAGCCATAACTCTTCATCTATCCCTTCCTCTTGCCTCATACCTGAGATGCTGGCATCTTGGTTTTTTCCAAACTCTGCTTCTTTTGATGTGATGGTCAATCGAGGACATTTGATGCCACAAAGGGGGTGAAGGTAACAGAGGAATAAGGGCCATGCAAATAGGAAATCAATAGAACAGGAGCAAAGACAGGACAGAAGAAGAGCAATTTTATAACTTCTCTCTGCTTGCACATAACCGTGCCCTCTTTTCTCATTGCCTTTCTTTAGGCTGGCTTTAAAAGCTGTGCTATATTCAAGCCGTGGTAAGTACAAGGTGGTTCTTATTGCCTTTCTAGGTTCTTGCTGTCTGAAGTACAACTTCTCACAGTGTTGCATAGCACACATCTAAACCCTGTGCTCAAATTCCATATTCTAGGAAATAAGTCCTCAGATGAGGATGGCGATACTATTCTCTGAAATTCAGTGGCAGCGAAGAGAAAAAAATTTAAAACTTTGTGAAGATGCATAGCCTCTCTGGGTATGGTGAGCTTCCTTGCTCCTTCACAATTAATGAGATGAAGCTTTCAGTTGGAGCTGTGTGAGATAAAAACAAGGCGAGATAATACACTTGGAATAACACAGTTGTCTGGAAATGCCCATGCTTTTCAAAGCAGTGAAAAGTCTCCAATTTCTCCTGCAAATATTTTTTTAAAATCAGAAAAAAGGTTGATTTTTGTTCTCATTCAGCAGCTGTAACTAGGTGATTCAGAATATACTCTTGACTTAAGGTGATCTTTTTTACCTTTCATGAGATCAGTATGTAACTTTGCTTATTTTCTTTTTAGATTTACTGAGTGCTCTTAGGGTAGCAAACTCAAAAGAAATAAGCAGATTGGTTTGTATTTCAAGCTCGTGCTGAGGTTTGACAAGAGTAACCCTTGGAAACTAACTGGGGAGCAGAGTTCCTAGGGCCCCCTTTGCTGACAGCTGGTATTTGTGGAGGATTTCTTGCTGGGGGAGCTGGGTTATTTCAGTGCCAGAGAACACAGATAGGGCACTCTGCCGCCAGGCAAGGAGGGATGCTCAAGTGAGTGCATGTGAGAGTGCAAAGCCTGGATGCATAAGCATGGCTGTCTTTCCCAGAGCATTTATTAATGAAACATTTACCATCAACCAGAGGCAAGAAGGGGTCAATGCCAAAAACTGCTTCCCTGTGGTTTCCTAAAAAATCAGAAGGATTGAAAATGTGAATAAATTTTCCTTATTATTCAAATTTAGGAGAGGGATGAAACATTTCTGAAAATCTAAAACATAGCTTTAAGATATCAGCTCTGCACATGGATCTTACATTCTGTTGACTTGTCCTCTTGCCCTCCCCTTAGCCCAAGAGAAGAGAGCAAATGTGCTACAGATGTGTTATCTGACTTTTCTTGGTTGGGGATTTGGGGGGCGGGGAGGAGAATGGTCACTGTGGAGTAAACGCTCATGGAACTTGTGTTGTCTGTGGTCTAATAGAATCTTTTTCTTTGTCAGAGGTCATAGAAATAATGATTGTGTAAATCAGAATGCAGATATGTGGGTATGCAAACATGTCCATGTAGTCAGCTTTTGATCCACTTGAGGGGCCACTGAGTCACGTCTCATTTCTGGTCTGTTGAGACTGGAGCTCAGTGCCACAAGGACAATGAGCATGTTACAGCTGAAATTGAAGGGAATTTTTTATTTTCCATTGTTTTTAGATAACTGTCTTATTTAAAAACATTTGAAAAGAAACAGCAGTGCTTTACAGATATGTGTACACCTAGTAAATATATGTCCAAAAAACATCCTCAGTGATGGGCTAGTCCTGAAGTGGCTTCCCTTGAAATTGAATGCAACATCAGTGTCACTAAATATGCTTCTTCATTCCCAAGGGGGTGCCACTTCCATTTGTCTTGAAGATATCATTGGGTCTTCTTTAAAATACAAATGTTTCATCTGATATGGCTATACTGTATACATTTTTTTTTTAACAAAGATAAAACTAGATTAATGAAGTACATAAAATGCCTTCTGGATACACGAACAACAATGAAAACGTTTAAATTAACAGGCATCAACAGGTATAAATAAACTGTCTAAAGCATTTAATGGTCTTTAACATAGCAAATGCCCTCAGCCTGGAAACGGTGTTAAATTCTTTTTTGCTAGTGGCAAAAGAAGCTGTCAAAGACAACATTGAAAAATTGGTACCATTTCCTGGCCAGTAAGCACAGAACTGAGGGGCTAAAAATTTTATGGTTTTTTTGTTGTTGTTCTCATGCTGTATTTCTACTCCTCCCCACCTCCTCTTGTCTGCTCAGGGCTGATTGTTGTGACGCTGGCCGTCTGCTGGATGCCTAACCAGGTTCGGAGGATCATGGCTGCAGCCAGACCCAAGTACGACTGGACGAGGTCCTACTTCCGGGCGTACATGATCCTCCTCCCCTTCTCGGACACATTCTTCTACCTGAGCTCGGTCATCAACCCGCTCCTGTACAACGTGTCCTCGCGGCAGTTCCGCAGGGTGTTCTGGCAGGTGCTGCGCTGCCACCTGACGCTGCAGCACGCCAACCACGAGAAGCGTCTGCGCACCTTTGTCTCTTCCACCACGGACAGCTCCCGCTCCGCACGCCGCCCACTGATTTTCATTGCTTCCGGGCGCAATTCCTCTACAAGGAGACCTAACAAGGTTTTCTTAAGCACTTTCCAGAGCGAGGCCGAGGCTGAGCCCCAGCAATTGAGTCTCGAGTCATCAGGGCCCAAGTGGGAGACAAAACCAGACAACTCTGCTGCAGAGAATGGTTTTCAGGAACATGAAGTGTGAAAGTCAAGTACGAAAGCCCTCCTCCAACAAAAGCGACATTCCCCTCACAAAGCAGTGGCAAAATAGCCAGTGCCCCCATCAGGGACAGGAGTAGAATCTAGGGGCCCTGGAAAAGGCAGATGCCCACTGAATTGTCTCCGAAGGGCTGATTCTGCAAGCCGGGCCTTCACTCTGGTTACAGAAGGGAGTGGGGCTTTCAAGCCACCCTCTCCTTTCCTTTAAGTACACATTGAAAATTCAGACTGAATTTAGAGCTTACAAAAATGTTTTACATGGAACTCTTTCATTATTTGCAAAGGAACTAAAAGAGAATGCAGAATCCCTACCCAGAATCTAAGGACACCCAGAAGAACCTTGTGAAGCAGGGAAAGCGAGGGCCAGAAGGACATTGCAGGATGGGCTAGCATCTCCAGCTTCAGCAGTGTCCCGCGAAGAGGGCTAACTTGAGGAGCAGGATGGTGGTGGGGAGCCCTGGCTGAAGGGCCGAGGCAGAGCTGCTCCTTTTCTTGGGCCGGGGTCCATTGCACAGAGGGGTGTTGCAGCAGCTGATGCACACCGAGTTCAGTTTCCCTGGGGAGCAGAAGGACTGATACCCAGCCGAGGCAATGAGGCAGGCCGCTGATGATGCACACGACTTGCGGTACATGATCCCTGCAACACAGACCCACAGGAGCTGGGTTAACCTGCACTGGCCAACAGACAAAGTCCCTCTGAGCCCAGATCCCAGTGTGTCCTTCCCCTTCTCACAGCCCTGAGACTCGGTGGGCCAGGGAGGTGCTTCTGGTTGTTTCACTGAGCTCCACAAAACACAAGAGATAAGTGGTAAAGGAGGCAGTCATCATTTCACTACTTTTGACAGAATTGTTCCAAAAGCTATTTGAGATGCAATGCCAGTGAATAAAGAGTTGTCGAAACTAAAGTTCACTTTTTAAAAAGTGTACTAGATAAAGATTTTTCCTTTTTTTTTTTTTGTTCAAACTATCTCACGCCAGAGAGAACCACAAGCTACACATCAAGATCTTTTATTTCTATTATTACTTTGTAAGTGACCATGGAGAAATGCCTCTAGACAATTTATTTATTAAATCCTAGAATTTTCTGAATAAAGACCAAATCCCAGTGGGAATAAATCAGATCCCTACCGAAGGGGTCCTGATTTTTCCTAGGTTTGAGAGGTCCACCGGGTTTAGTGAGGGCTGACCTGGCTGGCCATGTGCCCAGGACAGCCTTATTCTCAGGGAAAG